TCTCTCTGTCAAATAAATAAATAAAATCTATTTAAAAAAAAAAAAAAAGACAAAATTAGTTCTCAGTATGAGTCCCTCACTCCCTGTTCAGTGAGGCTCAAGATGATAGGACCCAAAATAAAATGACTAATGTAATTAAAAAGAGAAGGAGGAGAGTATATTCATGTAAATGGATTTTAAATGTTAATGCGTTTTTCTAAACTAGAGCGATTAGAGTTAAAAGACCCAAGGTGTCTTACGTATTTCTAAACTGAAAGATTAGGTAAATTTGGCTAACTTTATTCATGTGGTCATTGATGAGATAACCAGCAGAGGGAGCCAGAGTTGCTCCCTCCCCTCTCCCCCATTTGACTTCATTTTGGAATAATTTCAAATTTATTGGAAAGTTGCAAAAACAGTACAGGAGTACACTGTCATTTGCTTTGTAATTCTTTTTCTGTACATGTACCCACGCATATGTGAGTGTGTGCATATTTTCCCCTTGAATTGTTTGAAAGTGAAATATTTCAACATGTTACCTCAGAACAAGGGCATTTACTTACATGACCAGAATACAGTTCCCAGAATCAGGGAATTTAACACTGATACAATATGCTGTGTAGATCTTTTTCTCTAGACCTTATTGCATGTCACTAACTATCCCAGTAGTGTCCTTTATAGAATTTTTTTTTTCCTGGGGCACCTGGGTGGCTCATTCGGTTAAGTGTCTGCCCTCAGCTTAGGTCATGATCCCAGGGTCCTAGGATCGAGCCCCGCATCGGGCTCTCTGTTCCACGGGGAGCCTGCCTCTCCCTCTCCCTCTGCCACTCCCCCTGCTTGGGCTTATACTCTCTCTCTCTGTCAAATTAATAGATAAAATCTTAAAAAAAAAAAAAAATTTTTTTTTTCCTGATTAAGGATGCTGCCTAGCATTCAGTCCTCATGTCTACCTTAGTCTCTTAATTAGAACTGTTCAAGAGCTTTTCTTGGTCCTTTATGATGGCATTTTTGAAGAGTATAAGCTATATTTGTTTTGTAGAATGTCTCCATTTGGGTTTGTTGAATGTTTGCTCATGGTTATGTTCAGGTTCTTTTTGGCAGGAATGCTACATGAACGTAGTTGTGTTCTTCTTAGTCCATCACATCAGGAGGCCCTGGGTGTCACCTTATCGCATTACTGGTGATACTAACTTTGGTTGCTTGGTCAAGGTGGGTTTGCCAGGTTTCCCCAGTGTAAAGGTACTATTTTCCCTTAGTAATAAATAATTTGTGGAGATATACCTTGAGTCTATATATACATTATACTCCTTTGCAAACTTTGCATGCTGGTTTTATCATCTATTACTTTTTTTTAAGATTTATTTATTCATTTGAGAGAGAAAGAGTGGGTGCAAGTTGGGGGAAGGGTAGAGGGAGCGAATCTCAAACAGACTCCCCACTGAGTGCAGAGGCCGATGCTAGGCCCAGTCCCATGACTCATGAGTTCACAACCTGAGCCGAAACCAAGAGTCGGATGCTTAACTGATGGAGCCACCCAGGCGCCCCACATTTTTTTAATCTCTACACCCAACGTGGGGCTCAAAATCATGACCCCAGGACCAAGGATCGCACACTCCACCAACTGAGCCAGTCTGGCACCCCAAGTTTTATCCTCCATTGAGCATTCCTAGTTTGTTTCCGTAGTAGTTGCAAATGGTGATTTTATAACTTTTATAATTCCTTTTATATTTTTTGGTTGGAATTCTGTTGTGAGGACTTCCTCTTCTCCCCCATTGCTTAACTTATTGTCACATGTGTGGATACATGGATTTTTTTTTCATTCAGTGAGTTATAATCCATCACTATCCTTACATATCTTGATCCTCTAGCTATCCCAGATTCGGTTAGATAGAGCTCCTTCAGGTTGGCTTCTTTGTCCTTTTGACATGTTCCATCTTTTTTTAAGTACTTTCTTACTCTTCGGCACCCGATGTTTTAGACTCATTTTGTGCTTTCTCTGCCCCAATCCTGGAATCAGCCATTTCTTCAAGGAGTTCTGGATCCTTGTAATGGGGACTGGTATTTAGAAACAAAGGTCAGGGTGTGTTCACTGCTTTGGGGTCCATTACTTCTAGACCCTTGCACTGAACACAGACAGTGCATCCCCGCACACATCCATCACTATTTCTACACATGTATATGAAACGTGATTAACAATAAAAAAAGAAGAAATCATGTGTCCATCCTAATACCCACACTTCCATCCAGCACCACAGGTGCTTCCTGAGCCTGCCTCCGCCCCTTCTCCAGCACTGGGAGACCTGGCTCCCAGCATCATCCGTGTGTTTATCCGTGTCTCAGTCCTGCCAGATGCCCTCTTCAAGGTCCTGAATCGGCCTATAGCCAAGATACCCTCTGCTTCCACCCAACAATCTATTTCCCCAGGTCCTCTTTTCCTCATACTTCGTATTTTCAAATAGTACCCTCTTTGGCTCTGCTCTGGACTTTTCTGCCCTTTGCTCTTCTCACACCTTCTGGGCCTTGTGTGTCAGGTGATGCTGAACACCGAGCGACTGATCAAGCACGCAGTGCAGGAGAGGCTGGCGGTCACCGTGTGCATCAACAAGATTGACCGGCTGATCCTGGAGCTCAAACTGCCTCCCACCGATGCTTATTACAAGCTGCGGCACATCGTAGATGAGGTCAATGGGCTCATAAGGTATAGGATGCCGGGCGTGGATTTCCTGTCCTTAGGAACTCTGTGTTTTATAAATCTTAACCTTGAACACCTTTGGGAGGCAACTCAGATTTCTTGGGGTGCATAATGAGCTTTTTGGACCAGGCGAGGGGCACGTTCCAGGGCCCTACAGGGTTTTACTCCACAGCCTTGGCCCCATTGACCCCGGGCCTTAACCAGCTGTGCAGCTTAAGACACATCTTCACTTCTGCGTTGTGCTTAATACCTGGGCCTCTAGAATTGGTCTCACTTTCACCCCATACCAAGTGTGTGAACCTGGGCAAGTAACTTACACTCCTAGAACCTCAGCTTCCACCTCTTTGAAAGGGGAATAATAATGTTTGCCTAATGGGATGTTAAAAGAAATTAGATAGATATTTGAGGCAACACACTTAGCATGCTGCTTGGCATATAGAACCTGCTCAGTGAATAGTGTTAGTTGCTGTTACTTTCTAATGCAGACTCAGTAAATGAAGGAACTGTTGGCTGTTGTTTCTGTGGACGTAGTTGCTTTTCAGCAAGATGTATCGTGGGCTTATATTAATAAGTATGAGTGATGGCTGGGAGACCTTAGAATACGGTATCAAGGTGACTTGGAAGAATAGGTTAAATATATCCTAATCACAGTCTTATCTGCAGGCTGACAGATGGACTGGATGACTTCTTGAGACCCCTCAAAGGGCCCAGGACAAGGCTGTCCTTTTGAGAGAACACCTCTCCAGTTAAGGATAGTATCCCCATGGCCAGAGACAGATTTACCTTCAGGAGCCTCCTCGGTGTGTAGCCCTAATTCTCAACAGCCCAGAAGGGCTAAAAATGACTGGAAACTAACATAACATCAGGAGCCCCCAAAATGAAATGTCAGACTTCTTTATGTATCCCCTTTAAAGTGGGGGGTGCGGCGAAATCCTGATCACCAAAATAGGAAGTCAGATCTCAGCCTCTAAACAAGTAACAGCAACATAAACATTTTCTTTAGGAATATGGGACAAATGAACTACAAGTTTTAAAAAAGTTGAAAGCAGTTACCTCAGGGGAGCATAACTTGAGAGAGGGTAGAATAGGTAGGGGACTGCTCTTTATAAGCCAATACTTTCACTTCTAAATTAAGAAATTCTGGGGGCACCTGGGTGACTCAGTCATTAAGCGTCTGCTTTCGGCTCAGGTAATGATCCCAGGGTCCTGGGACCGAGCCCTGCATCGGGCTCCCTGCTCAGCGGTAAGCCTGCTTCTCCCTCTCTCACTCCCTCTGCTTGTGTTCCCTCTCTCTCTATGTCTCTCTCTGTTAAGCGTCTGCCTTTGGCTCAGGTTGTGATCCTGAGGTCCGGGGATCGAGCCCTCCATCGGGTTCCCTGCTTGGAGAGGCTGCTTCTCTCCCTCCCTCTGCCTGCCGCTCCCCCTGCTTGTGCGCGCGCGCGCGCTCTCTCTCTCTCTCTCTCTCTCTCCCCCTCCCTCTCTGTCAAATAGATAAATAAAATCTTAAAGGGGAGAAAAATTCTGTAAAACAATCTGTCCGTAAGGTTAGGGTTGTGGATTGGATTCCTATGTACGACTGGTTTTCTTCTAAACATTAGTGAACTTGGGATGCTGTGGCTTCTGCATGCATGGCTTTTAAGACAAAATTTTAACATGAATTTGTATAACAAAGCTAAACAAAACAATAAAGGAGAACAGGGCAATGAGAGTGGGGAGCAAAGTTACCCTTATCTTTTGTTATTTATCCATTTCTAGTGTTTACGTCTGCTTGTATTTGTGAAATTGAGATTTCTCTAAAATGCACTCCTCTTTCACATTAGATTCATTTCTTGTGTTCCAAGATCTTTGTCTCTGACCTCCAAATTTCCCCTTGTCTGTTTGGTGTGGTTAACTTCTCCAGGATCTTCTCCAGGATCGTGCATGAAGTTCCCAGCTCTGGGAAATCAGCTCGTTATTGGGAGTTAGGGGACAACTCCACCGTGTCACTTTCTTGGGCCAGGCCTCTGGCAAAGCTGAGTGTGTGATGCAAGCACGTGCTGAGGGCGAGGGCTGGAGAGAGGCTGGGACCCTGAGTCCCTGCCCTTCCCCCCAGGCGTTGTGTCGGTGTTGCTGCTCGGCCTGGCTCTGCGCTCACGACTCTGTTTCATCTCTGTTGCAGCATGTATTCCACGGATGAGAACCTGATCCTTTCCCCGCTCCTGGGCAACGTCTGCTTCTCCAGCTCCCAGTACAGCATCTGCTTCACGCTGGGCTCCTTTGCCAAGATCTATGCTGACACCTTTGGTAAGCTCTGGCTGGCAGTCTGCCTCCCAGCTTCCCCAGAGTCATATGTGCCTTTCCTGCTGAAGAGTTTAGAAGTGGCTTCATGCCAGAGTCCCTGTTGGGAGCATTTTATCAACTGTTATTGTCAGAACCATTATTGTCACTCTCTTTGGCCCCTAACCCTTTCTTTTGGCTAAGTGGTTTCTAAAGAATAGAAAAATAAAGGTACCTGTGGAAGAAGTGGGTGAAGGGGGAGCTCATTTTAGGAATAAGAATCTCTCCCAGTGTGAGACAGATACCGTCGGAAAGGAATGATCCACGCCCACCACACAGCTCTTTCAGACCTCTTCCTCAGAGGTGGGATCTCTCACTAGTGGTGCTTCTAGCTGTCTTTCCGACCGTATCTAGGCACATCGACATTTTATAGGCCTACTCGAGAGCTCACGTTGGATTTGCAGTCTGCTGGGATGCCCGGCTGAGTGATTTTACAGGTCCCTGGAGCCTTGACACCAGAGCCCTGGGACCCGCTTCCCAACTCAAGAGACTCTGGTGCTCTCCGCCTTTGTGCTTCCCAGTTCCCTCAGATTCCGATGATAACAACCATGTCCTGAGTGTCAAACTCTGTACCCCCTTGGGGGGTCATGATCACCCGTTTTGAGAGCTGAGGAGAGGCTCTGTGAGAGGTCTCGCAGCTGACAGGTGCTGCAGCTCCAGTGTTTCTGTTCTCCCCACTCAGTTGTCCTTCGCTTGCTCTTGTGAAAGAAATGGGCAAATACAACTTTTTTTTTTTTTAAATATGTACATATTTACTGCATCCTCATTGTAGAGAACTGGAAAATACAGTAAAATCTAGTCAGGAACGCAGATTCACCCGTAACCTCATTACCATAACCATTGCAGATATTTGTTAGAGTCCTTTCTTTGTTTGGTTTTCTACATAAATGAGATCACATTTTATAGAGAAAGATATAACAGATATAAAATATATAATAACACAAAATAAATTTTCACTCAGTATTGGATTATAAGCATTTGCCTATTTTATTAAAGTTCATTCCTAAAAATTATTTTCTGTAATTGCCTAGTGCTCCATGTATAGATAGATGTATTATAACTTAGCCACTTTATCATTAGACATATATTTTAGTTGTCTGTAGCTGGCTCTTTTAAAGATTTTATTTATTCATTTGAGACACAGAGAGAGAGAGAGAGAGCATGAGCAGGGGGAGAGGCAGAGGGAGAGGGAGGAGCAGGCTCCCCGCTGAGCCAGCAGCCCAGTGTGGGGCTCCATCCCAAGACCCTGGGATCATGACCTGAGCCGAAGGCAGACGCTTAACCATCTGAGCCACCCAGGCGCCCCTGTAGCTGGCTCTTTTAAAGGGGAAATAAGGGCACCTGGGTGGCTCAGTCGTTAAGCGTCTGCCTTCGGCTCAGGTCATGATCCCGGGGTCCTGGGATCAAGTCCCGCATCGGGCTCCCTGCTCAGCAGAAGCCTGCTTCTCGCTCTCCCCCTGCTTGTGTTCCCTCTCTCACTGCCTCTCTCTCTCAAATAAATAAATAAAAATCTTTAAAAAAAATAAAAAGGGAGAAATAGATGGACAATAGATGAAACTCATCTGAGCAGGGTTTTAGTTTATAGGTTTCTGAATGTTCTTTATAACAGCATGTGAAGCAAAGCCCAAGACCGTTTCTGTAACTACAATGTATTAATGATTCAGTTTCTGATTGAAGGTAGCCCTAAGCCTCAGGAGAGTATTACCCATGCTTGGAACCCACTGTTCATTTAGAGGAGCCAGCTGAGGGCTCTGACATCATCATCATGAAAAGCCATATACGGACTTGTATAAAGTCAGCTCTGGAAGGAACATCAGAGATATTGAGTCCTTCCCCTTAATTTCATATATGGGAAACTATGCCCAGGGTTCCAGAACCTCCTGATGGGCTTGGGACTGGAATCTACTTGGGGTTTTTTCTATCACACCGTACTGCCACAGTTGATGCCCTGTCATCTTAACTAGGAATCTGGCAGGGCGTGGGAAACAATCTGTGACTTGTAGAAACACTGTCTGGGGGTAGACAGAAATCCACAGAGTGATGAACAACAATGTATAGCATCAACTTGGGCAGGAGGAGATAGGGTTTGGTGGACAGGTGGGGAGTGGGGAACTGGGCATTCCAGACTCGCAGCATTGGGCAAGGAGGCACAGAGGCAGGTGGTTTGGACCCATGGCCTGCTTAATAATGGTGGACCGTCTCACCAAGAAGAAGAGTTGAAGTAAAACTGGGCAGGCAGGGGTGGGACCACATCGAGGAGGGTTTGGAATGCCAGATTAAGGAATTTTGACTTTATTCTGTAGGCAGTTGGGAGCTATTAAAGATTGGGGTGGGCTGTAAGCCACGTGGTCTCTGTCACAACTATTTAACTTCCCTGATAGAGCACAAAAGCAGCCACAGACGATATGTAGATGAATGAGTGTGACCATGTTCCTATAAGACTTTATTTATGAGCAGTGAAATACGAGCTGCACGTGTCACAAAATACTCTTCTTTTGGTTTAGCCAACCATTTAAACGTGCGGACAGGGGCACCTGGGTGGCTCAGTTGGTTAAACGTCTGCCTTCAGCCCAGGTCATGATCCCAGGGTCCTGGGATCGAGTCCCACATCGGGCTCCCTGCTCAGCGGGGAACCTTCTTCTCCCTCTCCCTCTGCCCCTTCCCCCTGCTTGTGCTCTTTCGCTCTCTCTCAAATAAAGTATTTTAAAAAATAAAATAAAAAATAAATAAACCTGCGGGCAGAACCTGTGCTTTGCTAGAAGGACATGCATAGGCTATGGGCTGAACTTAACCCTCAGGGGCAGTACCTGCATAAGGCTACCCCGCAGCAGCCTGAGGCACTGACCCTACTTTGCCAAACATCCAGAGAATGCTCTGAGGTGGGACAGGGACGATTTCTTGCATAAATCAACTACCTCAACTAATTCTCCTTTTCCAGGAGCTAGACTTCCTGCATGGTGGCTAACCTAAAACTTCCTGACTGTGTGCTTCGGCAACGTACCCTCCACCCGGTTTCCCGTATTCACACACCTACCCCAAAAGTCCTTGAGTAAGAACTGTGCTCCCGGGCAGAACAAAAACCTGTGTCCCAGGATGGCTTCCTTCCACAGGCAATCTCAAGCAAACAAAATATGAAATTCATGTCCCAAGGCCACTTTCCCAGCCCCTGTAGTATCCTGGGGTCTGTAGGTGTTTCCCAGGATCCAAGTTCTCTCTCACAACCTGCTTAAGAAAGATACACATATGGGGCGCCTGGGTGGCTCAGATGGTTGAGCATCTGCCTTTGGCTCAGGTCATGATTCCAGGGTCCTGGGATCGAGCCCCACATCGGGCTGCTGGCTCAGCAGGGAGCCTGTTTTTCCTCTCCCTCAGCCTCTCTCCCTGCTCGTGCTCTCTCTCTCTCTGTGTCTCAAGTGGATAAATAAAATCTTTAAAAAGAAAAAGAAAGAATCACATATAAAATAAATGAAAAAATGTCACAAAGTTATGTTTAAAAAATTGATAAATGAAAATAAAAATGGGGGTGGGCTGACATGTGCAAAGCTGATGGAAGGTAGGCCGGAGAGAGGAGAGAGTGCAGGAAGGAACACCCATTTAGACGTTTTTACCAGTATTCAGATACAGGATTGCAAATACTGGATTCTTGTTATCTGTGAGATCGAAAAGGAGGAGATGGGTTGGAGAGATGTTCACCCCTTCTTTCCGTGAGCGTTTATTGCACTTCTGTAGCACACTAGGCCTGGTTCTTGTGCGTACCGTGAGTATGCCATACCATACATTAAGTGCAGTATTAGAGGTGCGTGATAGACACAGGGATTCAGAGGAGAGAGCTTCACTAATGTGGGAAAGAAGGGAAGAATTTGGTAATTAAAGTGGGGACGAAAAAGATTGTGAGCTTGGATAAAGTGCCAAGGGTAGCCTCACTGAAAGAGAGAACAGTCTGAAGGGGAACATAGCTGTAGGGAAAAGGTGATGAATTCCCTGTTTGCCATCTTGAGTGAGAGAGAACAGTCTGACATCTGGATAGAAATACTCATGAGCTAGTTGGTGACGTCAGTGATCCAATTGACTGTCACAGGAGCTCTTGACTGAGAAGATCTTGAATTTTAAAAGCCCCCATTGCTTGGCTCAGTCTGACCAGGATTAAGGGTTACAGTCAAACTAAAAAGATTAACTGGTAAAAGATGAGACAAAGGTTGGCTTTGGTGTTTTCTCTCCAGAGGACTAGATGTCTGCCTTCCAGAGGCTTAGGGCTAGTCGGAGCTTTAGCATGGCACTGCAGCTGGGAGATTGCTACACTGGCAGCAGAGAGCTTCTGTAGATCAAGAAAGAATGAAGGAGCCATCAAGCTTCACTTCTAGAAGGAACTGGGTTGCAGAGCATAACATATGGGCAGTTGAGCCTGTTTTTTGTTTTTTGTTTTTTTTTAAAGATTTTATTTATTTGACAGAGAGAGACACAGTGAGAGAGGGAACACAAGAAGGGAGAGTGAGAGAGGGAGAAGCAGGCTTCCCGCCGAGCAGGGAGCCCGATGCGGGGCTCGATCCCAGGACTCCAGGATCATGACCTGAGCCGAAGGCAGACGCTTAACGACTGAGCCACCCAGGTGTCCCCAGTTGAGCCTGTTTTATCAAAGGAAAGAGTATAAACCATACCCTTGTCCATAGCTCAGTTTTTTTGTTTGCTAGACATGGAGCTAGACATAGAGCCACCTCTAGGTGCTTGTTTTGGCTCCAGCATAGTCTTGTCAATTTTGGGCCAGTCCTATTCTTGTCTGTGCCTCAATATCCTTGTCTGCCTGCCTGGGTAGAAGGAAATGTCCGGACCTTGGAAAGGAAGGTGCTAGAATTCCTCAGCTGTAAACCACCTATGCACCTGGATCAGACTTTCAAACAGTGCTTAGAGTATAATCGTATGTCTTCTCTTACAGGTGACATTAACTACCAGGAATTTGCTAAAAGACTCTGGGGTGACATTTATTTCAACCCCAAAACGTAAGTGGAATGGAGAAATTACTCTTTAGAGGGGGGATCCATTTTCCCAGGAAGTGAAGACAGAGAAAGAGTTCCTAAGATTAAAACCTACTTTTTTATTAGCCATGACAGTCATCTTTCCTCCTCTAAGTGGATTGGCTTCATGAGCTCTTAACAGGATGAGGCTGTTTCTCTTGACGTCTTCACAGCTCAGCTTAGGCGTGCATGCAAGTCATAACCATGTACCCTCTCAGGAATCTCTCTTTGGAAATATGATCACATACACGTTCCTTCCCCTTGACCCTGCTCAGATTCAGAACTTAGGAGATTCACCCTTGGGGTCAGTGACATGCCTTCTCCCTGCTGGCTCACCCATAACTCTTTTTTTTTTCCTCTTTAGACGAAAGTTCACCAAAAAGGCCCCAACCAGCAGCTCCCAGAGGAGCTTTGTGGAGTTTATCTTGGAGCCCCTTTATAAGATCCTTGCTCAGGTGAGTGTGTCAGGCTGCCTGATTCAGGTCTGCCCTTGTAAGCATGAGGTGGAAAAGCTAGTGAACTCACACTTCCCCTTGTCCCTAAACCTGCTCAGTTTCATATTACTTAAGTATGAGAATAATTGATCACCAGTCTTCTAGATCTAGGACACTACAGTTGTCTAAATGCTGTTGAATTCAGAGTGAAGGGAGAAGATACAGAAGAAGGAAAAGGCCCTGGAGAAATTTGTGTAAAGATTTTGTCTATTCAAAAGAATATGACTCTTGAGGGGTGCCTGGGTGGCTCAGTCGTTGAGCGTCTGCCTTCGGCTCAGGTCATGATCCCGGGGTCCTGGGATCGAGCCCCGCATCGGGCTTCCTGTTTGTGGGAAGCCTGCTTCTCCCTCTCCCACTCCCCCTGCTTGTGTTCCCTCTCTCGCTTTGTCTCTCTCTGTCAAATAAATAAAATCTTAAAAAAGAAAAAAATGACACTTGAGAACTAATAATTTTAGTTGTGGGGATTTGATTTACAGATCAAATTGAGAAAGTACTCCAGGTTTAACATATATATAACATATATGTTAAAACATTATTTACAACACCAGGGGGAAAAAACTGGAAATAAGTTAAATGTTTACCAATAAGAATCTGATTAAATGAATTATGGTACTTCTCAAATGAAGTATTTTGCATCCATTAACAGAATGGCTATATGAGCTTGCTTTTAATGACTTTTCTGGGTGTGTATGTACGTGATGTTTGTCAAATTGAAAAGGATGCATCATGGGGCACCTGGCTGGCTCAGTTGGTAGAGCATGCAACTCTTGATCTCTGGGTCATGAGTTCAAGCCCCATGTTGGGCATAGAGCTTACTTGAAAAAAGAAAAAAGGATGCATCAGACAGTGGTAAGGATGTAGTTAAACATGTGGGATGCTTCAAAGAAAAGAGCATAGCGTTGCGTTACATGAATCTGTGCTACCTAAAAGGCAGAGGTAAAAGGGTAACATTGTATGGGAATTTTCATAGATCTTTTTTCCAAGACAGTTATAAAATATTCAAGTGTTTAATAAGCCCTGGACACAGTGAACACACACATACACAGAATGTGTGTGGCCATTCCAACTGACAAAAAAATAAAACATAGCAACAAGACAAAATAGCATGATTAAAATTTATTAGTGCTGAAAAATACTTAGTATCTTGTGTCAGACTGGAATGGATTAATAAAAGAAATTTATAGAATCTGTCTCGGTAGAGACCTTGAGTCTGCTAAGGATGATTTAGCTTGGCCTTGCCCTACCAGTGGATGGACTGCTAGGTGACCTTTTTTGGTTCCTTCCCGTGCAGTGATCCTCTAAATCTGAGAAGTCTCTAAAATAGGGAAGGGTAGGGCGCCTGGGTGGCTCAGTTGGTTAAGCGACTGCCTTCGGCTCAGGTCATGATCCTGGAGTCCCGGGATCGAGTCCCGCATCAGGCTCCCTGCTCAGCGGGGAGTCTGCTTCTCCCTCTGACCCTCCCCCCTCTCATGCTCTCTCTCCCTCATTCTCTTTCTCAAATAAATAAATAAATAAAATCTTTAAAAAAAAAATTAAAATAAAATAGGGAAGGGTAGGGTAAGGATTTCCTGAGTGGGATGAGATGCTTCTTATCAGACATCAGGGGGCAGCACTGAAGGTCCATTTGAGAGGTCCAGGTTTATTGGCTGGTGTGGGCATTCAACCAAGCCCTTTTCACCCGGGGTTGGTTTGAAGAGTAGGTACCAAAGATTTCCGGGAAATCAAATAGTTGTCCTTGCCAAGAGCTCTTCCTATAGAAGAGAACTTAGTGCAGCGACCCTTCAAATTGCCCTCTGCCCTTGCCCTCTATGGCAGGCACCACACCGGGGCTGTCACTACAGCCAACGTGGTGTCTGGTACCCACACAGGTTGTGGGTGACGTGGACACCAGCCTCCCCAGGACTCTGGACGAGCTTGGCATTCACCTGACCAAGGAAGAGCTGAAGCTGAACATCCGCCCCCTGCTCAGGCTGGTCTGCAAAAAATTCTTTGGCGAGTTCACAGGTAACAAAAGAGCTCACGGCCCCTTTCCCATCCCCATCATCATGTTCTGCCACACGTATGGTGTGGAGCTTTTCCTCATCCCACAGCGGTGTTCAGAGATGTGAGGCTCTTTTAAAGAAACTGCAAGTCAGGATGTCCAGCACCTGGATTTTCTTCCTAGCTGTCTTCTTCAGTGGACGGTACCAAGAAGTCTCTCTTGGAAAACAGAAGCAATTAAATTTCCCTACCAGGAGGAGGGTGCATTTAAATAAAGGAGATGGGGGAGCAGATTCTGAGGTTCTAGTATTTTTGCCAGGGGGCGGTCAGGAAGATTAGACTCATGAGTTGTGGGAAGTAGTGGGGAAAACACCAAGCCCGGATTTCTCTTTCCTCCGAGCTCCTGTCTCCTCTATTTGAGTGGCAGGGAAGGCAGGTGATACAGTAGAACAAGACCCGGACCAGTTGAGAAAAGACCTGAGTCTTGCTCCTGTTGTGGCCCTGACCCTTCCATGTGGTGAGACCCTGGGGCAGCCACCCAATTCTTCTGTGACTCAATTTCTCATCTGTAAAATAAGTGAGGCGGGAAAGGTAATGTCTAAGGGCCCCCTCAGCAGTCTGGTGGCAATTAGGTGTCTGAATCCTCCAAGTACATAATTTTAGTAGTTCATTATGGGCTGGCCATCAGTCTGACCTAGGAGATACCAACTGAAAACAGATCTGCCTTCCCCAAGGTGCTAATGGAGGTCCTCTCTTGCATGGCTCATTAGCCATTAGAAAAGCAGGATCGTGTATAGAACGGAAACGTGTGCAATGTTTCCCAAAGGAAAAGAGTCAATTTAGGGATTGTTCTAAGTAGATCTAAAGAGAGAGGGTACTTATTTAGTGTAAGCGCTCAGTAAGTGCTTATATTCAATAAAAGATCGTGGATTGGTAGAGATACTTGAAAATTTTTGTCAGCTGAGTTCCAAGAAACCACTGAGCCCTGCTTCTTGCTCTTCTCTGACATAAGTGTGGCGCCATAACTTTTAGACCCGAACATCAGTCCTCTGGCTTTTAGCGCTCTGGCTATCACAAGTAGATCCATAACTCACCGCTCACTTCCCCCTGTGAGAGTGTATGGTAATGGCTTGCTCTTCTCCCTCCACAGGCTTTGTGGACATGTGTGTGCAGCACATCCCCTCTCCAAAGGTGGGCGCCAAGCCCAAGATAGAGCACACCTACACCGGTGGTGTGGATTCTGATCTCGGCGAGGCCATGAGCGACTGTGACCCCGACGTAAGGGAAAGCCCCCATTTCTCTTGATTTTTTTCCCTTATGTATGGGGATGCTGTTGTCTGGTCATAGGAAGAATGCCTTCTTTCCATCCTTGTTTGCCACTCACTCCCCATGAGCAAAGTCAAACAGACCTGAATTCAAAGCCTAGTGGTACGATCTTGGGAACATTATTCAATCTTTCTAAGAGTCTTGGTCTATAAAATGAAGGTAATAATACATATGTGATTGTTACAAGAATTGAATAAGATAGAGGAAGTATTACAGTTGTGTTCAGCATGGTGCCTGACAGATAGTAAAGATTCAACAAATGGTAGCTAACCTTGTCAGCCTTGGGCTTTAAAAAGATCTTTCCCAGGGGCGCCTGACTGGCTCCATCAGTAGAGCGTGTGACTGTTGATCTTGGGGTCATGAGTTCAAGTTCCACATTGAGTGTACAGCTTACTTTAAAAATAAGTAAATAAATAAAACTAAAAAATAAAAAATAGAACAGTCTTTCCCAGCCATTCCTAAGTCAGTCTAGTTTCTTGGCATAAACATACAACCAGTTGAGAATTGTGTTAGGTCTTCGGAGGGAATTTGGGGCAAGCAAGTCTTGTAATCTTGCAAGTTAACAGTGCCAGTCTGCCATCCTAAACCTACTTTTCTTTGCCATTGCCCTCATCCCCCTAGAGAAAAGGAGAAGAGTTTTTTTGCTATGCCTGTGACATTTATTAACTAAGCAGGGGGTAGGGCGTGGTTTGGGATTTTCCTTGGAGATTGACGTATCTTCCTCCAGGTCTGGGCAGCCTCTTCCCGGAGCTCATGTCATTGCTGTCAAGGGAGGTAGAGACCATGGTATTTACCATGGAATATGTGTGGTGGAGCCTGCACTCTGTCCCCATCTCCAGGGTCCCCTGATGTGCCACACTACCAAGATGTACAGCACAGATGATGGAGTTCAGTTTCATGCCTTCGGCCGGGTGCTAAGTGGCACCATCCACGCTGGGCAGCCTGTGAAGGTATTGGGGGAGAACTACACCCTGGAGGATGAGGAAGACTCCCAGATATGCACCGTGGGCCGCCTCTGGATCTCTGTGGCCAGGTACCGCCCACCACAGCCTAGGAGGCATGCCTTGGCCTTGTCACTGGAGCTGCCACAAGGAGCTGGAAGGAGTAGTCCTCCTTGGAAGCACAGAGGCTGCATGGCCCCCTACAATAGATCAGCGGACCCTCCCTCATATCTGTTGACTTCTAGTTCTTACTACCCAGAGTTGCTAGGGCCAAAAGGCAGCTACTGTTGGGATAATGCCAAGAGCCTTGCTTTCGCGTTTTGAATGGCTTGTGTAAACTTTTGAAACAGGATTTCTATTTTTACTCTTAATTCTCTCTTCCTTTTCTGTGTTCCTAAGTCATAACCTTTATGTTTCTTCCCAAAAGAAGTTGTCTCCCAGCCTCCACTGACTATTCTTTGACCAAGACAGAAGATTTTGCTGGATCCCTTGTAGCTTCCCCATCTTCAGAATCAGAGTTAGCTAGGGCCTCTGGGCTGCTTGTGAGTTCCTAAGTTTGGCTTCTCAGCTAGCAAGCAGAGCAGAGGCAGTCCTGTCCCTGCTGTACCTTGCCGCCGGCCCCTGTCCCCTCCCCCGGATTCAGCTGTTCCCTAGAAGGCAGAAGACTGATGAGCTAGGACAGTCACAGTGTCTTCTAGGATGCTTCTGGCATCTCCTTACCTTCTACCCCTTGGGCAGGGCCTTGCTTACCACTACTATCCAACTGGAACTGGGTTTTCCTGTTTTGTCCTCTGACAATACCATGTACTTTTCTTTCATGTGCTAATCAGTTTGTGACTCCAGTTGACCCTTGAACAGCACAGGTTTGAGCTACGTGGGTCCACTTTAATGTGGGTAATTTTCTTTTTTTTTCAATAAATACACTATAGTCCTGGGACGCCT